AGTATGATTTACAACTGAGTTTCAAGTATTATATGACTTGAAGAGAAGTGAATTTAATCTTTATTGCAGGGACACACGAAAAATGAGTTCAGAGCATCAATTAGTGATCAAACAGTTAATATGCAAGTGATTGGGAATCTTGGGTCCTATGTCTTTCATATGTATTGAACTCTAGTAAGGTACATTTCAAAACTAAGGTACCTTTCATTATCCAACGTTTAGTGAGGATCAAAGGTTACAAATTTATATTGTAGCATGTCTTGAGAATTTGATCATATTTTTCCTAAATCGAACTCTGAACTGAGGTTGAACACATTTTCAAAATCCCTTCTACTGAACCAAAAACTCTGAACTTAACAATGAAGATTAAGATTTTTAATTTTATATATTAACAATAACAATGTGGTTTTCTACTGTCATAAAACTTGAAAGAAATGAGAATTGTTTGTGATAACTTTTTGGTACATAGAAGAAAAATCGATCAATTACTGATATCTAATCAAATAGTGGAGATGGCAAAATTCAAGGGTCACTACGGTTAGAAGGTATATATTGGACAATGTGGTTATATATAAGAAATGATAAGTAAATATCTTCTTAAAGCATGTTCACAGTAGTTTAATTATTGGGTTAATTTTAGAAAGCTCCCCTCAGCTATGGGGCTTGTCTCAGAAAACCCCACTCATTTATTTTGTGACCGAGCATAAATGATGGCCAAAAGTTACAAGTGCATAACCAATCAAGTTATAGTATAAAAAGTTATCGATCCCATGAGGAAGGTGTTTGTAAGAAATAATTAGAATCAGTTCTTATGTTGTGTGTGTGACAATTAAGAGTGATGAATGTGATTATGGAGAGATAGAGAGAGTGATTGTATGTGAATAAGCACAAAATGAGATTGAGAATGGATAGATAAAGAGTGGATGTGATAAAAAGAAGGGGTTTTTGTCTTTAGGCCCATTTGTTTACCTAGATTTATCTTTAAACCCAAGTATTATTAATTGTATCTTTAAGCCCAATTCACTTTTGGTATTTGTCTTTAAACCCAATTCTAAAATACAATACTCTCATACGTGGGCCCCCCTATATATTTTTCTTAAATTCAAATGTTAGCCTTCATGTAAGTGGGCCCCCCTCTAACCCTCTCTCTTGCTATAAATGGCGGGAAAGCTTCCCCCCTCTCTCCCTCTGTCTTCTCTCTCTCTCTCTCTCTCTCTCTCTCTCTCTCTCTCTCTCTCTCTCTCTCTCCCATCCATTAATTCTCACCAACTTCCTTCTCTCTCTCCCTCTTCATCTCCCACTTCATCTCTCATTCTCTCACACCATTATTAATAGAGATTAACCTTCTCTCCTAACCCATCAACTAATTCTCACTAACTTTCTTAGCATTTGAAGGTAAAATTTTTCAATTTACTCCACTACCAATTTTGTAATTTATTATGATCATTTTATGCATGGCAATTATTTGATATGTTAGTTAAATGAGTTCATAAAATTTTTCTTAAATTTGTTATATTTGGTAAAGTGTTAGTTAAATGAGGTTTTGTAATTAACCACCCATTAATTCGACATTATTATTTCACATTAGTTATTTCACATGGTTATTTCACACTAATTTCTCATTATTATTTATGAATTCATAAAAATTAGCTAAAAATTAGTTATAGCACGTATCACGTACGTATAGCATGTTATCATGTAAGTATAGCACGTTAACCTGTAAGTATAGCATGTTATATCATAAGTATAGCACGTTCTTCTGTAAGTATAGCATATTAACCTATAAGTATAGCACGTTATCATGTAAGTATAGCATGTTATCATGTAAGTATAGCACGTTAACCTGTAAGTATAACACATTAACCTGTAAGTATAGCACATTATCATGCAAGTATAGTACATTATCATATAAGTATAACACGTTAACCTGTAAGTATAGCATATTATATTGTAAGTATAGCACGTTAACCTATAAGTATAGCACATTATATTATAAGTATAGCATGTTATATTATAAGTATAGCACGTTAACCTGTAAGTATAGCATGTTAACCTGTAAGTATAGCACGTTAACATGTAAGTATAGCACGCTAACCTGTAAGTATAGCACGTTAACCTGTAAGTATAGCACGTTATGTTGTAAGTATAACACGTTATGTTGTAAGTATAACACGTTAACCTGTAAGTATAGCACGTTATATTGTAAGTATAGTATGTTAACCTAAAAATATAACACGTTATCATGTAGTAGTATTTTAGTTGTATTGATTTTATGTGTCTATATTTGATGAATGTTTTCTCTAAATTTGTTTATTTTTGGTGATAAATATAGATGAATGAAGAATTTTATTATGCATTGACGGATTTTAGAGGAAACAATCACTTTTTAGAATTAAATGTCAATGGGAGTTACAAAGATTTGGCCGTTACAGTCCAAAGCCTAATTGTTTGTAGTGAAAGCACAATACGGTTGACTTACAAAGTACCCCACACACAAGAAATTTATGTTCGTGTATGTGATGATGATGATGATGTCTCGATAATGTTTCAATGTACATCAAAGTTGCAAGGAGAATATTGTCGTCATGAACGCTAAGATGAATCGAGAGATATTATTTGGGATACAAGCTAACAATGTCCATATAAGGTAATTTCCACTTTTGTTATAGTTTCGTACTTTAACATTATCACTTTCTTAAGTCTTGTACAATTTTCTATGCAGTAATCCATATATCCCCTCTAGTGACGAACATGTTTCTTATTCACAAAATTCATCGTATTCACAAAATATGTCTCAGGAAGTTGAGAGCTCTAGTATGATTCCTATTGCATGGCACAATGCTATTAGAAGTGTTGGTCAAGAGTTTGATGATGTTGAGCATTGTCGGCGGAGTTTAAGTAATTATTCTATTGCACGAGGATTTAACTTTGAATTTGTAAAAAATAAACGCAAAAGGGTGACAGCAAAATGCAAGGCCGCAAACTGTAAATGGATGGTTCATTGCACCCGTCGTAGAGATAGTGATCGATTCTATGTGAAAAAAATATATAGTTCTCATAGTTGCTTGGGAGGAGGCATAGGAAAGGAAGGATATCAATAGGCATCTCGTACGTGGAATGCTAATCATCTCAAGACCATATTGAAGGAACAACCCACTTATCGCCCAATTGATTTCCAGAAGAAGCTTAAAATGGAATTTGGTTTGGACATCCCTTATCATAGAATTTGGTGGGGAAAAGAGCTAGCTCAACGTGAATTGTATGGTGATACTAAATTTTCATATGACCAACTCCGATGGTATAAGGATAAAGTTATAGAAACTAATCCAGGATCAATTGTTCACTTAGAGCATGAAGACGGAAGATTTACACGAGTATTTGTGTCTTATTATGCTTGTTGGAAGGGGTTTATGGAGGGATGTAGGCCAATGTTGTTCTTGGATGGTACACATCTTTTTTATAGGTATGGTAGAGTTCAATCTAATCAAAACTTGCATTAATGTACTACTTCATATTATACTTTGTTTCATTATTGTTCTTTTCTTTTTTAGGTATAAATGAACCTTACTTGCCGCAACTGCTCTAAACGAAGATGGAGGTATATTTCCCGTAGCAAATTTGCATATGCGGGACGGAGAATGAGAGTAATTAGGAATGATTTTTGGAATGCATTCGAGACATTCTCTTCAATGATGAAGATCCATATACTCTAGATGATGAACTGGTGTTAATCTCCAATAGGGACAAAGGACTTCAGAATTTTGTGAAGAAATGCTTTCCATGGTCACATCACTCTTATTGTATTCGTCATCTTTTGGCTAATTTTAAGAATAACCTATCGAAAAAGGGCATTATACCACATTTACGAGATGAATGTGTGCAAATTATGAAGAGGACCACTTATGCATACACTTCTCGTTCCTATAACAATGAATGCAATGAGCTACGGAACAAATCAGAGATCGCCTATTACGAAATGTTGAGGATGAGTCCAAAAAATTGGGCTAATTGTTATTTTCCAGGGAAGAGGTTGAAATTTAAATTTATGCAAAACTTTAAATGCAAATTTTTGAGATATGTGTTCCTGCTATACTTACTATTTATTGACATGTAGATATGGATGGTTGACATCAAACGTAGCAGAGTCATTCAATTCTTGGATCAAAGAAGCTTGTTATTTGCCAATTACCCAAACAATTAATAATATTCTCAAGAAAATGATGAGGATGGGTTTTGAAAGGCGGGAGGCATCCCACAAGTGGACCACATCATTTGTTCCTACTATAGAAGAGCACCTTATCCATATCAATGAGCAATCACGTTGTCTTTCTGCAATTCCTTCTACTATAGGAATGTACGAGGTGTATGATTTCCCCACCGTTGAAGTAGGCTTGAATGAACACACATGCACTTGTCGTGAATGGCAAGTTGTCGGGCTACCTTGCAAACATGCTGCGATGGTTATTCGACAGAATATGGACACCCATTACTCCTATATTTCCCACTACTTTAGCGTGAAGACATACCGCAAATGCTACTCCTTTCCGATATACCCAATTCCTAACGATGACAAGCCATGTATAGATGATGAAAATATGGTGATTTGGCCACCGACAACATCAATTCTTCATGGAAGACCAAGGACAAAGCGCATTCCTTCGGGATTGAATCCGGGCAAAGAGTTAAAATGTAGTTAAACTTTATGTAGCTGAACCATAGAACTTTATGTAGCTGAACCATAGAACTTTACATGCTGGTGCACTGAACCATAGAACTTTACATGCAATAATCCATCAATTTCAATGACTTAGAAGCATACAAAACTTTACATAACCAGTAATTTAACCATAGTGGCTGATTGCACAAAAGGACTTTACAAATGACTTTACATAACCAATCCCAACAACAGTCTCATATATAGGTTTCATACAAATGAATTTACAAATCACTTTCTAAACATATATAAGTACACAAAAAATGCTTGATATCACAATTGGCATCTAGCATCCAGAGAATTGGTCTTGAGGATCATGTTGATTTCCTGAAAGAAAAATATAAGCGGATCAAAAGAACAATAGGTTGAGTTTAAAAGCGGTTCAATGAACATTACACTTATAGAAAATATACCTTCAGATAGAAATAGAGCAACGATACGAGCTCTATGTCTTGCACAATCCTTTTGGTCAATTGAAATAGTTTGACCGGAAATGAGGCTAAACATGTATGCCATCAAGAACACCGCGCAATCCAAGCTACTGCAAGTTTAAATGTTTGCAATATCAATATAACACTCTTGGCCCGCAATATATGGTCTCTATGCAATAGCACATATGAAAAAACAACATATGAATAAGTCGAATACACTAACCCATGTTGTTGAGGTACATCAACAGTTTCTACCTCCTGACAAGAAGTAATGTCTAAATTCCAAGTATCGGGAATAGTAGAAATAAGCTTCACTCTAAATTCACTAGCATAAGACATATATCCACGTAGAGAAGAATAATGATAAAATCTTCTATCCTTGACAGAGAATACCAACATATGCCAATGAAATGAAGTTAAGAGTGGGAAAATAATCTTATCAAGTTCTTGGAATCGAGTAGTCGTGATTGGCTTAAACATTCGATCTACACTCGATGGGTTATTCTCATTGATGCATCTCTAAAAAATAAAGAAAGTTCAGATTATGAATTTAATATAGCTTATGAAACTTACAACATAGTCTCGGATTGGATTTCTACTTACGGTTACCCATGGACTACATATGTGTATGTCCTTTGCATAGTTGGGACGCATCTCAATCAACCTATTTAGAAACACAACATAAGTGGCTATAACCTGAAATGTAGATAATAAAATTGTAAATATTAGTGTTATATACTAACGCGGATTGTGTGAAGCATGAAAAGAACATATACTTACGTCGCAACTAATTGTCTCTCCTTTAATGCATCCTTACGTGTTATCAACACATCTCTAGATGACCACACTAATGTCTCACTACATATGAAGTAAATTTATAACATGTATTAATGAAAAAACTTAGTACAATTTGAAAAGTAGATAAGTAGATCATTCAAAATAAATTTATAACATGTATTAATGAAAAAACTTAGTACAATTTGAAAAGTAGATAAGTAGATCATTCAAAATACACTTACGCGGCCATATTCTTCTCAAACTTAGTACAATTTGAAAAGTAGATAAGTAGATCATTCAAAATACACTTACGCGGCCATATTCTTCTCTTTCCAAAAATTATCTAACAGTTCTCTCTCCTCATCCATTACTTCCTTCCTTCCCGGATAATTTGGTCATCCTTTTCTATTAACAAGCGAGACAAAAGGAGTCTTTAATGATGGCCCAGCATGTCGAGATCTTGAGAGAACTGTTCTTTTAATGGAAGGGGTTTTACGCATGCCTTCAATCTTGCTTACATCACGTGGGCTAAGAATAAAGGCGTCATCATCCTCCATTGAATCCAAGCTCACTTGATCATTACCACCATCCTCACCACCATCTTTATCTACATTCAATGTATCAACATCTTCACCAACCTCCTCATCCCCGCCGACATCCTCATCCATATCTCCACCATTCCCCACCTCATCCTCCTCATTCCCACCATCAACTCTCTCCTTATCTTCCTCATTACCCTCATCACCCCCCTCCGCATCCTCCTCGTTCCCCTCATTATTTCTCTCCTCATCCTCCTCATTCATCCCATCATCCCCCTCCTCGTTCCCCTCATCCTCATCACCGCCATCACTATCATCCCCATCATTCTCATCATCCTCATCTCCTCCATCACTATCAACATCCTCTTCTTTCTCACCAAAATTTTCCCTCCTTATCTTCAAGAGAAGGTCTAATTCCACTTTTTTTCATGTATGAGCTGATCCAACTCAGCTTTGGTGATTACCTACACATAAATAACCCAAGTAACTCTAATTCAGGGATGAACATCAAATAAAAAATATTTTGTAAAAGGATGGAGAGCAATTAACTAACATGGAATAAAAATAAAAATATGTATACCTCTCTCTCTCTCTCTCTCTCTTCAATCTTGTAGGGGCAGCTTTTCTCTTTTCAAATTCGGAAGCCCTTGAGTCAATCACATGCTTCCTAAAATTATTCGGGTCTCTAATCAAATCTTGCACTGCACTCCTCCGTAGAGATCCCAAACCCTTGTAGAAGCTTAGGATGGGTGGTAGAGATCCTGCTCCTACGCGAAGGCGTAATTTTCCCACAAGCTCATAAAACCAAATCTGTGAGAAAATGAAAATTTTAGCTCAACAATAAACATGACTAAATGAAATAAATATATACAATGTAGAATGACATAAAAATATAGTAAAGGTTAACTTACCACCAAAACCGAGGCAAAACCCCCCATATAACCACCTCTAGATCGATTTCCCTCAACCCTCTTAGTGATGGTTTTCTTAGCCTTATCCATCTTAGTACGTAGCACATTGTATACTAATTCAGCCTAATTATACTCCTTAAGAGTGTCTAATTTCTCAACATATCTAAATGCAAACAAGGGACAACTCATACTAGCTTGAGGGCATAATATAAAGCCTATAATGAAAGCCACGAGCATCTATGGGAAAAGAGGATCTCTACGCTCGGTCATCTGCTTGATAAGTTCACCCATCCGATCTCTTCTAGCACACACAATCTTCTTCTTACCTTCGTCACTTTTCTTCTTTTCGTTTCTAGTCATACACTTCGTATCTTCTTCAATTTTAGTCGTAGTACTATATGAAAGCACAAGCTTGTAGATTGTATCGCGGTCACTTCTATGAAACCGCGTGTCTACTATAGATCCTCCCATCGGGAGACCTGTAATTCTCCCCACTTCTTCAACACCGAAGGAGGTCTATTTTCCTCTAATTTTGAAACTACTTTTTTCAACATTGAATACTCCTAACAAACAATCCACAATAACTGGTTGCATTGGCAAATCTGAAATATCTAAATACCCATAAAATGGAGTACCACGGAGGGGAGTTCGTTGATCTTCCGATAAATAAACAGAAATTTGATTTTGAAGGTCCCGGAAGTATCCAATGTTCGATGGAATTCGCACTAAAGCCATGATATATAATTATCTGCAATCATAAAACATAAGGCAACTTTATTTGTCTATCAATATTATACATAATTCCTTCATTAAAACAAATTTCATTTCAAAGACTATGATTTCAAAATTGTAACAGACGATCTTAATTCTTGAATTACCATGCTTGAGCTTTATATGAAATATTTACAGTCTATGTGATTTTTTCCTTTTCTCGCTTAGTGAACAAAATCTTGTAACAGACATATGTACAATATCAAATTAATCTACAGAAACATTTTCTTTATTTTCTTTCCTTTTAACATCATAAAGTCATGAAATTGAATCAGTCCAATACTATAGCTAACAATGTCCATTCCTCAATCTACAACAAAAATTTATGAATTTCTAAAAAATGTTGGAAAACCAATACCATTCCTCAATTATAAAGTCAATTTCAATGCAGTCAATTTCAAAATTTATCTACAGCAACATTTTCAAATTAATCTACAGCAACATTTTCTTCATTTTATTTCCTTTCGACATCATAAAGTCATGAAATTGAGTCAGTCCAATACTATAGCTAACAATGTCCATTCCTCAATCTACAAAATTTATAAATTTCTAAAAAACATTTGAAAACCAATACTATTCCTCAATTATAAAGTCATGAATTCAAAACAATATAAAAGCTTCAATTAATCAGTACCTCAAACAGGAAAGTCCACGGAAACGATGACTAGGGTGTCGATGATTGACGATTGGGGGCGTCGACGATTACAGCGATGACGATTGGGACGTCGACGATTGGGGGTGTCGACGGCTGGGACGTCGACGGCTGGAAACAATGGAAATGCGGCGACATGATTGGGGCGAGCGACGATTAGGTTGAAAACATGGTGTCGATTGGGGCATCGACGGCTGGAGAGGGGCAACAGCTGGAGATGAGCGTCGACGCTAGAGACGGCGACGGCTGAGCGGCGAATAGGCTGAGCGACGACAGGCTGGAGCAGCGACGGCTGAGTGACCGACTAGAGACGAGCGAATGGACTTGGAGACAGGCGACGGTTGAGCGGGCGTTGGCGGGCTGGAGACAAGATGATGGGGCACAGGCGGAGCAGACGGCGTCGACGGCTGGAGAACGGGCGATGACGAAAAGGGGATCTCGTTTTCTCAATTTAGAGCTGAGGTGAAATAGGGAAGATGAGAGAGATACTGGGTTTTATGGGGCTAATCAAAGGGGTATTTTGGGGTTTTTACATTCATTTTGTATAAATATAAATAGTAAAAGTATTGTATTTTAGAATTGGGTTTAAAGACAAATACCAAAAGTGAATTGGGCTTAAAGATACAACTAATAATACTTGGGTTTAAAGATAAAGTTAGGTAAACAAATGGGCCTAAAGACAAAAACCCCTAAAAAGAATTAATGTAATCAAAAAGGAAAGAAAGAAAGATGAAGGAAATAAAATCAAAAACAATAAAAGAAAAATCAAAAATTAAAGGAAAAAACAAGAAAATAAAAGATGGAGGATTCAATTAAAGATATGATAAACCTAGAATTGAATCCACTAGCTAATCTCACTTATAAAATGTGAAGCATTCTCTTTTTATCATATTCTATTTTAGATTTATTATGTATAGATTATCAAACCACTCAAAGAAAGTATAACCTATCAAATTATCATCCAAATAAAATTATTACTCATGAAAAGAATAACAACTAAATATTAATTCTATAATTCCTTCTACCAATTAGTTCTTTAGTTGAATATCCTAAACATGAACATTTTAAGCATAAGAGAATGATTAACAAATTATAAAAGAAATAAAGCTAGCTTCATGCAATTTCTAGAATCCTACGAGTATTAATTCCACATCAAAAGAAAAGAAAATTCCCTAGAGAGTTCTAGCCTCAAGACGAATCAAAGAAAATAAAAATTAAACAAAATAAAAACTTATCCAAAGAGGGTTCTAGCCTCAAGGTGAATAGTGCAAGAAAATAAAAATCTAAACTATAAAATAAATTGCAATAACTAAACTACAAAATAAATTACAAGAATTAAATACGAGAAAATGAAAGTAAATCTACTCTATAAGCATGAAAATAAATCTAAGGCAAGAGGGTTCTAGCCTTTTGGCTATTTAACAAGAAAATAAAACAAAAAAATAAAAATATTAACAATGAGAAAATTTACATCCCGAGAGGGTTCTAGCCTCAAGGCGAAAGCAAATCTCTATCTTGATTTTCATCTTCATCTCCATCTTCATCTTCATCATCAATAAAGAGAAGAAAATAAAAATATGAAGATGTGAAATTTTTTTATTAATTGCAACAAAAAGTTATAATTTTGGAAGGTCTTCTCAATTAAGAGTAACCCTCCTCTCCAAATAGAGTTACAAAAACTTTAACACCCTTAACCCCTCACTATCTACCCCTATTTATGGCCTACAGTAATGAATGAGAGCCCTTGGATTAGACTTGAGCCCCAAACCACTCAAAATCAGCCATTAATCTCGCTATAGGAAAACTACATCGATGCTAGTATCAATGCTAGCATCGATGCCCTCATCGATGCCCACGTCGATGCCCATAGTATCCAAATTCTTACTTCACAGATGGCTTCGTCTCTGTAGGCGTATAAAAATACCTATAGGTATCCACGTACAGTTTGAGACAGAGAGAAGGTGATGAACGCCATTATCTAAGTCCAAGAGGATTATCCGAAACCGACCAGCGAATCAACAAACTATTGATGACGTGGCCCGCATGCTCACCGACCACCACCAAGTGGCCCGCGTTCCCATCGGCCACCAAATTGGCAAACCAAGCGGCCCGCACATCCATCGGCCACCAAATCGGCGAACTAAGTGGCCCGCGTGCTCACCGGCCACCATCAAGTGACCCACACGCTCAACGACCACCAAAATAGCATACAGATCAATAAAACGATAAAATACGCGTAACGACGGAACAAGTCAAAACTCGGAAAACCAATAAAAGCCGCTATGGTTCGGCCCAAAGCCAGATCACCGAAAGGTGACTCGGCGGCCGAGCCACCGGGTGACTGTTTGGCCAGATCTGATCTAAAACGTGATTTTTCGGTTTTGACGGATTCTCACGGGATTTTTTTGTTCCTGAACGTCCCAACTGATCTGATACTATGGTTAATCAGTTTTTAACTGAAGATAAGGAGGAATCCCTCGTTCTTATCCAAATACCGGCTTCCGAAGCTTATAAATACGAGCTCGGATGCTCATTTCTCAGGGCCGGAGATCAAGAGGGCGAAACGCTGCCGAATTGGAGAGTGGAGCCACGAATTTACAGCAAGGGTTAGTAGATATTGGCGATCTCCTGTGCATAAAGAGTGGAGTTCGAGAGATCTGAGACTTGTCCCCTATTCCTCCGGATTTAAGCTTAGTCTTAAATCTCGAGAAGAGCCGTGATCTCGCTTGGTCTAGATCATCGCTGCAGCGATTACTTCCTTCGTGAAGTAAGAGCTTTGATCACCAATCTGTCAACCGAATATGATCCGTGGTGGTCCACGGATATTAACGTCCCCGGCATAGGCAAAGTTCCCACGCAAGCAGCGGGTGATAAACGTCCCTTGCGCTGTTTGACAAGAGTTGTAATCTTTATTTTCATTGTATAAAAGAGATCTTATAAAAAGATTAACTTTTTTTTCATTTGAGTTTATTGTAATGACCAAAGTTATAATAGATTCGATGACAATGAAAACATCAACTTTTGACCTAAATAGTCTCGTCGAGATAGGCGATTTTCATATATTATATGTTAAATTTCGCCTTCTGGATTGGGAGATATCGTTGTTTTTTTGCGGCCAACCATCTTGAATATGATTTCTTTTCATATTAAATTTTTTATTTTCTTTGGCTTTTA